AAGGCTGTGACTGGGTGATGAGGCCCTGGCACGGGCTGCCCAAAGAAGCTGTGGATTCCCCATCCCTGGAAGCATTCAAAGCCAGGCTGKATGGAGCTTTGAGCAACTTGGGATAGTGGAGTGTCCCTACCCTTAACAGGGGACTTGGAATGAGATGATCTTTAAGGTCCTTTCCAGCCTAGGTCATTCTCTGATTCTCAGATTCTTACTTTAAAATGATTTAGAAATGTTCAAATGCAATTATTTTCCACTTCCACCATTACAGTATTACCCGATGAGGTTACAAGATATAGAGCATCTCTTGAATGGAGARTCTGTGTAAGTAGAGGCCACAACCACAGTTCATAAATAGCAATTTAAATTGGAAGGATTTAGTTACAAAGGACCTATTCCCAGTCCTCTCATTKTCATCAGTGGTCTAATCCCAATGGACTCCAAAGGCAAAATGAAACTTTCAGTTGCATTTCTTAAGTTCTGCATTAAAAGCAATGTATTTACTTGAAAGGAAACATCTTAAATTTAGTATAAAAATCTGTTGCTACTTGTGGAGTAGCAGAGAACATGYAGTAACACTGATTCTCCAGATGAGCTTCTCTACCTGCTGAACTGACTCCCTTTCCCTTACACACCTCCATATGCTGCTGATTGTTTGAGGGTTTTTAATTTGTATTTATTTTTTCTAGATTACTGTCTTGCACTGTTTGTATGTGACTGCTGTAAGATCTGATTAAGAATGCTTTTGGTGAACAAAGCATGGCTGTGGAGATACATCAGTAGGAAAACTGTCTTTTTTCCCATCTCCCGGAAAGCTCATCAGCTGGTTGTACTTCTGCTGGAGTTTTAGTTCTGCTTTCTTTGACACTGACTTCTTGAAATAGCCAAGTATCCTTTGAGAAAGCTAACTGAAAGTAGATGCTTTAAAAAAATGGGAAAGAGAGGAGGAAAATTAGCAAAGCCCTAAGGTTAAATCGGGTCCATTCTTAACAGGAACCACAAATATTTTCGAGGCTTTACCTGTTTAAGTTTTCTTTCCTAAAATAATTACCTTCATAATTGCACACCAAATACACATTTTTTACCCAGGTATCTTTTCCAATKATATATTTTGAGGGAATACTCCATTTTAATTACAAAAAAAAAAAGATAAATATCTCTTTTTAAAAGGGGAGTAGTTTCTCCTTTAAAAAGTGGGTTTTCTATTGATACCCCTGTATTACACGGCAAGTACCCCACTTTCCTAGTGCTCTCCAGAAGAGCATTGTATCTGTACCACTCATAGCCTTAAAATGCATGAGCACTTTGACCCGTTTCATAACTATTGTGGTAACAACAAAAAAATCCCATAWACTTGCAGAAGAATTGCTCATTGGTACGAAGTATTCTGGTTTGGAAGTATTCYGGTTTCTACCAAAACTCCAATTACTTAATTTTGTGCCCTTTCTGGCCGACATAAATTATGCAAGCCTTGCATCTTGACATCAATGAGTTATGTAGCTCTGCGCACACATCAATTAATTTTGGCCCCATCAACTTCCCACCTCCTGTGTGCTCCTCTCCCCAAATCGGGTTTGCATCTCCCAGCCGCGAGCGGTTCATCTCGCGCTGCCGGCAGCCGCATCTGCCCGGGCCTGCAGCCCCGCTTCAACTCTTCACCCTCCCCCTCCTGCCTCTGCTCCTGCTCAGCCAAGCCACCGCCTGCTCCTGCTGAATCCCTCCTCCTCCTCCTCCTCCTGATCCATCCAGGTGTCTTCACCTCGTGCCTTGCCAGTGGGTCACTATCTAATCACAGTGCAGCCACCCCAGGGCAGTGGGACTGGTCTGCAGGTGACCTGGTTGTCCTTATTGCTCTCCTCCCCATTTTAAAAGTGCACATTGCAAGATTGAAGTTCCATCTTCTGGAATGGACTGTGAAAGCCATGGCGTGCCTAGAGCAGCCACCTCCAAAATCCTGCCTGTAGTGAAGCCTGGATCATGCAACTGAGGAAAGCAGCAGCTTTTAGGAGTGTGCGAAAAGTGATGTTGAGGGAAAAATTGGTGCTAGTACCCATCAAACTCAGCACTGCTAGTGAACATAGCCTCTGCCTCAGGGTTGAAGTGACACCACTTCTGTGGGTGTCCACATCACAGCCCTCAGCAGGCTTCCCTAAGCAACCCAGGAAGAGYTCAGTTCCCTCCAGTGGGCAAAAACATCATGAGGGGTGTCTTGTTCCCTTACTGCCAACCTCTGCGTGCAGCTCCATTCTGAGTTCTATTTTGACCAGAAAGGAGAAGCAACTCCATGAGAAGTATGCAGAGACCAAAAGCCCGAGAGGGCAGCGTGATGTCCTGCAGATGAGAGAGGCCTTGAGTTGCTGTTGCTTTCTGGTTGTGTTCCAAGCAGCCCACAGCAGAGCAGCTCTGCAGCCCATCTCCRGCCCCTGACCAGGCCTTTGTCCTCCAGTAACACAGAATAGGTCAAGGCAGGCCCCTTCCTCACCCTCTCCTGCTGATTTCAGCTCCTCAGGAGCATGGAGAGGGGAGGCTGGTGGCTTGCCAAAGGGCCCAAGTGATGACAGCAGAAYGAGGAGCAGTCAGGCTGTGCCCAGGGTCTCCCAGGGTCACCGCGTTACGAGGGCTGGTGGAGACCAGCTCATTTYAATCTGCTTTTGTCTCTAGGGGCCGGAAGGAGTCCGATTCCTGTCTCAAGTTGAGGTTACGGAATATTTTCTCTCCTTTTTGTCTGTGTTGATATAACCAATGAGTGCTGCTGCGATTGACTTTTGCTTTTTTTGTACAGTTCCCAGCACATCTGGTCGCTTGGATAAGGACCCTGGGCCTGATTGTAGCAAAAAAGTAATGATAGTGTGCTTAAAACTTGGGCCTACAACTACGACCATATGTAAAACATAAAGCATTGGGGACAAACTGAAGGCAACACAGATTTTAGTCACTGACCAAAAAAAAAGTGCATTCACTGTATTGTATCTGCAGTTGTGTTTATTGTGCCTCGGAACTAAAAGCTAGGCATTGGAGCGCTTGCTCCCAGCTGATTGGCACTGAGCTGAGTTTTCCCTGTCCCACCTGCACAGCAGCCCTGGTCATTCATCAGTGGGAAGCTAAGCTGGCTCTAGAAAATGTTCTAATTACCTGGGTGTCCTGATGAAACCTGCCTTGGTTTGAAAGAGGCACACCACTGTAATCACGTGAACGTTTCTTGTTTATTCTAAATAATAGAATTGGCTATAGGCATTTCCTTAAGAGCACGCAGAACACAGTTGCAGTCTAATTCCTCTCCCTCCAAGCCTAGTCTTGAAACATGCAAATTTCTCTTTCAAGTGTGTTGGCAAAAAATGGCAACATCCTGACACACGCACACATGATTTAGACACCAAATTACACACCAGCCAAGATACCGTCAGTGAACTGAGCTCTGTGGTGGGTTTRTCAGGAGAGCTGTGGAAAGCACTACAGTCTGCTGAGCAAATAGCAGCAGACAGCTTATTTCTTTCTCTCTTCTGTAGGGATCCAGCACTGGCCTCTGCAGGGTACTGAGTTTTGCTCTTCCCAGGACAGCCTTGCTCTATCCTTGCACGGCTCAGTGCAGCATCACAGGGCTGTGCGCTTTCTGCTGAGCGTTTTCATGTTCTGTTTTAAAAATAACAAGACATCTCTTAACATTCAGGATACATTTTTCCACTCTGAAGCACCACAACAGKCTTTTTAAAGAAACTCTAGGAAGGGTGTTAACTTGATCAATGCTGTGCAGGAAGGAAAGCYCTTTCCTACTATTTTTTCAGCATGACTTTCACTGACATGATCAGGCTGGGAAAAGACTTATTGGCTGACAGCCCAGGACAGCCATGCAATATCTCTAGTCATCTGGACCTCAAACTARTCTACCCAAGGGAGAACCATAACATAAAAACAATTTAGGTTACATGCTGAATCTTATAAACATTGTTCAGTTTTTAAAAAATRGTTTAAATACTATTTATGTGCATTCACTGTGCACGGGATTATTGTATTTTGCTTTCCTTTTTTCTGAATGTTGTAAGAAAGGCTGGGAGAGTTTTTTACTTTTTTTTACTGTAGATGGTTTTCAAAAATCTTGGASATTTTTTATAAACATAGGGAAATGAGCTTCCTCTTTTCTCATAAATTTAAGAGCTTGGCTTCTGCTCCAAATCGGATATAATTGTTTTATATATAGATAAAGTTTACTTTTTGACCCTGTCCAGAGAGCTGTTTGAAGGGAGCTTGCAGAGGCCCAGCGATCCTCCTCCTGCACATGCAGGGCTTTCACCAGACTAGATTGGGGAGAGCATGGCTTTGCCTTAAGACCTCTGTGAGCAGAGTTTTCCACTGCTCTGAGACTGTGCTTCTTTTCTAGAATTTTTTTCCTCCTATCCAGTCTGAACCCTCTATTCTTCCCTTCGTGGCCATTGTCCCCTCTTCCATTGTCCATTGCTGTTTGTTCTGTGGCCTTCCCACCTCCCAGTGGATGCATAATCTGAGTAAACATGGTTGCCCAAAGTGCAGGGCCAAACACACGTGTATGGAGCTGAGCATCACTGGCCTCTCTGTTTTTGTGCATAAAACCCCTGTCAGAATAACCTGCTCTTCTGTAGACATGTGCAGCTCTAAAAATGTGGGGTAAAGCAACATGGATCCAGGGTGTAAGATTGACTTCAACAAAACCCTTCTTTTCTCCACTCATTGTCTTGGGGGAAGATCTGAATTTGGGATGTATCCATTGCCACCTGTCCTTCTGCCAAGTCCTGACATTCCAGCACACCTTGCAACAAGTCTAAAAGTTGAGGAAAATGACTGTGGTTCCTTTATGATTCCTTTTTTCCATAAACTGGTATTTCACAAGCTGAGTAACCTTACTGTCTTTTCTTGTGCAGATTCTTGCTTTTGCTGAAATCATTGGTTATTTGGCGCTGGTATTGTTTTTGAGTTGTGTGATTTTTTTACTTTCTCGATGTACTATAACTTTTGCTGTGRTGCTTTCATTGCAGGCCTTGCTGAGACCGGGGCGAATAGACAGAATTATCTATGTGCCATTGCCCAATGCAGCCACTCGCAGGGAAATCTTCAAGCTCCATTTCAAGTCCATGCCAGTCAGTGATGAAGTCTGCTTGGCTGAGCTCGTGGAGCGCACACAGAAGTACTCGGGAGCAGAGGTAAAACTTGCTGGAGTCGGTGCCCAAAACGATGTTTAAAGTTGAAYTCAAGTATCATCCAGATATCCCTTGAGCCTTCTCAGAGTGCTGCTGGGGAATGTGAAAGGGAATAGTTCACATATTCCCATGTTCTTGCAATCTAGGACTTTTTTACTTCCAAGTCCCCATCAGAGGGGTGTTGCCAGGGGAAGGGTCTCTTTCAAGCAGCCTCATTAATGAAGTGCTGCCCGGAGTGGAGGGGGAGATGGAGGCAAGTTCCCACAAGCTTCCCAAATAATTCCCCCACATCTCTGGGAACTTTTTGAGTGTAGAATTCTGACTGAAAGCCTAAGGTGGGGAGAGGAGAAATGGAATTATGAAATAGTRCAGGGGAATTGCAAAGGAGTCACTTGGAAGCTTGTATATTCMAATTCCATATAATCAAGACCTCACAGCAGCACTTATTGTTAGAGCTCATTGCTATTACTTAGCTTCTGACAACGGATGTCAGACAATTATTTCCTGTCCTAGGCAGGAGAAACTTTCTCARATGCTGCAGCCTTGCAGTTTAATAAGTATCAGTACATTAGTGRTCACCATTCTGCTTCCTGAATATTATTCATGTCAGTGTCTCGTGAAAGCATATTTCATTCTTTCCTTATTTTAATTAATTGAGAGTAATTACATTAATGCAAAAATCCAAAGAATGTTAATGAGGTTGCCAAGTTAAGCTCTTGAAAGGTATGAAATACTAGAATTTCCACCTTGCTGTAGCAAGCCCTGGTGTCTACATTATCACACCATCTAATTACATAGTCACCTTCTACTTTTTCCATASCAAGTGGAAAATGTGATGTGCTTGCCTTGGTTCCCCATCTTTCTGTGTGYTGTTTACAAAGGCAAGGAAATAAGATAAACTTTTGTCTTGGATGACTGTGGAAGTTTTGTGTGATTGCTGTAATGCTGAAGGTCCTTCTCAAAGGACTGGTTATTGAACGTGATGCTCCCAGGTAAGACTTCTGCTCATTTAGCTGTCACTTAAATGCTGGGGTGTTGTAAAATGCCATGCTGCCTAACCCCTGGCTGRTGAGAGCACTGCTGTGTGTGCTGTGCAGTCATTTTAGGAAGCTGTGTCATAGCAGACACCGAAGCCAAACCCACGAGAGTTTTCCTCCTCAACACACAGGACAGACTGCACTCTGGGAGTGAATGAATGAATCAATGAATGAATCAATGAATGAATCAATGAATGATGAAAGCTGTGTAGTGAGCAGAGCTGGTTTCTCTAGCACATCTTTCTGCCCAGAATGTGGGCTCTCACAATGAAAAAAAAGGCAACAATAAAAAGATTTTAGGCTTAAGTGTTGATCTGGAAAATTGTCACAGCTCTACTGCCTCCGTGTTTTGGAGCAGTGACCTGAAACAGTGTTATGTTTATATTTGRGGGACAGTGACACAACTTGGGAAAATTTATCTGCCTCTGGCTRAGTTACAAGCCTCCAAAAACATAAATATAAACATATCCTCTGTTGCATATGGCAACTGTCGGATTACCAGGCAACACGGGAACRCTTGTATTTTAGAAATTCCTAGCATATGGGGATTTCCTTTGGATGTGGATCAGCTGAAAAGCTAGTGGTGAATTCCAGTGCCTGGTTGATAATGAGTCACAAATGTCTTGGTGCTGGCTTTGTACAGAACCAAAAATAAGTTAATGGGTCACTGAGTGCAGGGGGRGAAAAAGGCTGCTTGTTTCTAATATGGTATTTCTCACAATTTTTGTTCTTTTGCATCATGCAAAGTATTATAATAACTGGGATGTAAAGAGTAAATACAGAAAAAGCCTCAGTCGGGGTTCCTTGGAAGAATATATAAAGTCTTGACAGTTGGCACACACAGTGGCCAGTTTCATTAAAGCCTTTTCTTCCCAGTGTCTCCAGCTTCCCAGCTTTACAAATAGTTTCCGCTGCTGAATGGCAAGTTCCCATTCCACTGTTCTAGCCTTTGTTTAGAGAAAGAAATGGAAAATGCCTGGTTTTGTGGCTAGAAAATGCTGTATGAATAGGGAGTTGCGTGTAAAGATGCGTTGAATCATCSTGACATGAGCTGAATAAACAGCCATTAAAGTGGATAGTTCAGTGTGCATCTGGCTTCCAACTTGGCCCCTTTTCAGATCAGATACTTGTGTATTTTTGTCTGTCATCACTTATGACCAGTTATCTCTGTTCACCTGCTGGATGTACGTTTCTCTTAATGACTACCTTTAAAGATATATCAAGATAGCAAAATAGGGTGATTACTTCCCACTGTTTCATGTGAGGGAACATGGAAGATAATTTATGAGGGTGAATTGCAATATCCTTCTCTTGTGTGAAGTGAAGTTTAAAGTAATAAAAGAAAAGGCATTACATCTGTACAGTTAACTTTTAGGTCAAAGAAATCCTCAGCTTTCTGGAAATATTTGGATTTGACTGCAATCTTAATTTCCAGACCCTTCTGGAGTAGTGTTCTGCAGCAGTGCTTGGGCTCTTCTTCGGGGATACTGCATTTCATTTTGGGCAAAATTGCAGGAGGTCCAACTTTTATGAAACTGATAATTTTTTAATGGTTTTATATAATTAGAATGTCTTCACTCTGAGGTTGTTCACAGTTTGATCACAGCTTTTCCTWGAGCATTTTCACTGTTATACTTCATGCTGAGAAGCTTTATCTGTTTAATTTCCTACTCAAGTAGGAATAATTAAAGATCTGACCACGGAAGTATTTAAAAGCAATGTTTTTGAGTACAGCAGTGTGAGTTCTTTGGGTCTCATTYGCTTGTTTTCATGGTGCTGCTGCAGCCAGCTCACCTTAGGAAAGATGGGCTTTCCACAAAYTCAGGTGCTCCATTTTTCACTTTGGGGTTAGACAGGCAAGGGATGAAGAGAATGTATCCCCAGTGGAGAAATTTTGTTCCAGAAAGTAGGTGATATAAAGGAAAATAAACCCAGTAGAGTGAGAGATGTTAATTTATTGTCTAAACACAGTCAGATGATGTTTTTGTTACAATTTGAAAGGCAGAGAGGGAGGTTTTAAGCAAAAACTGAAACCAGGTGTTGAGTTGTTTTGAGTTTAAAGTTGATTGGAAGTAATAAAAAATTAAATAATCTGGGTATGATGACAATATTCCTCAGACRAGTGTGCTTATAAAAGTAAGATAATGGGACTGACTGATTTTAAATTGGTGGAAAGCAGGTCATGGTGAAAGCCAAGGCTGGCATGGTTTCTATAGTATTATCAGTTTCCATGCTTACAGGACACAATAGTAAAGCGGGAATCTTGGAACCTGTAAATCTTTCACTGGTTCTTAGTCGAAGTGGAACAGTTAATGTAAAAAATATCTTTCTCACTTTGCAATAACTCTCAATGGGAGCACAGAAAATGAAAGGGAAGAAAAGCAAGCTGATGAAGGTTTGCTCTGGCTCAAATAAGAGCAGATGTGATGCCAAAAAGATCTTTGCAGCAGCGAAGTAGCTCAAATCAACTCAAGTCTTTGACTCTTAAAATATGTATTCCAAAACATGCAYGTTCTTGTTTAGCAGATACTGACATATTTAAACTAGTAACTTTAATAAAAATAGCCACCTCAAACTACCAAACACTTTCCAAATTCCTCTCTTTCTTATAGGTACTAAGTACAAAAAGAAYGAGGACRTGTKCCACCGTAGGTGCACAGGARGGTARTTTTAAGAGATTTGGAAAAAWTTATCTATTTAGSAAAGARCATCTGCAGTAAAGGAGAGAGAGGRTTTAGATATAGAGGGRRAAAGGACATTTAAAAAATAAGGATGTGTTATCCTCTTTACATCTAGCTCTGCTTGGAGGAAAAGATCTTCCAGACTTAAGGAAAGGGCTTTCTGCCTAACATTATTAAAGGGCAATGGATTCAATCCTGTATAGTAGCCTAAAATATTTCAGTGAAATGTGATTTTCAAGGTGAGGAATGCCATCAAATTGAAATGTAGCAAGATTAAGGCCTCAGATGAACCTCTGATGTTTCTTTTGGAATGGTGCAGAGGATCTGTTAATTTATATCACTCATTGAAAAGTGAACATTTTTGTGTGGGTGGGTGAGGAAAAGTCTCAGCCTTCATCCAATATGGGTAGCATGGGATCACCTCCTTCCTACACACATTTATCAGTGCTAAGGATATGTTTGGCCCAGGTGTCTGGAAGGTGAGGAAATACCTGGCATTGGGAATGTTTTCCAAATGTTAGTGTTTGGGATAAACGAGATGAATCACCGGAAAGGAAATAACTAACTGCACAGGACTTCCCATGGGATTCTGTCTGCTGCTGGTCTCGCAAGAGCCTCGTACGTGCGGAATGTGCAGACTGGGAATGAGGGCAGTGTGAGCAGCTGGGGATGTCTGGGAACGGGCATGGCAGTGCTGAAAGCAGGACTTTGGGGCGTTACTCTGCCTCTCCCTGCTCTCCTTTTCAGTCACTTCAGCAAGATGTGGTTCCYGTCACCCATTTTTTAGAGTTGGGGCCCAAAGTGGATGGATTTTCATCGTGTTGTGTCTCAGCTGAGGCCTGATAAAGCACTGTGTGCTGACCCAGTGAGGACAGAAAGCATGGCTGGCAATCACCATGCTYGTGCAAAACATAAGGTTTGGTATAGAGTGGAGTATTGGCACTGGAATTTATGCATGGCAAGCTCATCTGGGAAAGAACATTTTCTCCTTCAGTGAGATAATGATTTGCTAATAGTTTAATCAAGCAGGGGAGATTTAATGTGTCTGGCTGAAGGGACATTAGTGTTTCCGAAAAGGTCAGACCCATTAACAGCTCAGGAGGACACAGCCGAAACTGCTTCCTAAGTAACTCAGAGAACAGTGATCCTCAGAGGAACTTGGGGAAAAAAGCCAGAGGGAATTTGAATGAGCACCAAACAGTGGTGAGGTATGAAATTTCATTTGCTTCTCAAACCTGAGATTTTTTTACCCCATGAAGGCCAAAGAGCTGATATTTTGATTCTT